TTTTTTTTTTACTACAGCAAGGAATGGGTGCAGAATATGGAATAAATTCTGTTATATTTGTATTGGTAGTAGAAATTTCAGCACTAGTGGTACTAGTGCAATGATATGCACCCATTAAGCATGAGCGTTCAACAGCAGAAGTCTCTTCTGATTAGTTACATTTTAAAAAGGAAGTTAATTTTGGAGTTGTCTTTAGAGACTCACAAATTCTTTTCTTTTTATCTTCTGTGAGCTTTCGTTTTTGTGCTCCACTTAATCGTTGCTGTTTCATTTTACCTGGATATAAAATTTCATCACTTTTTAAATTTGGTTATATTGTAGCAAATAAATTTGAGTATCTGAACATAAATAAAATTCAGAAAACAAGTAAAATTTATAAAATAAAATTTACACTTGAATTTGGACATTAGCACAAAAATTTAAATTTGAAAATCAGTAAGTTAAAAAATAAATGGATTTGGAACATGTAATTTTGTTCTTTGGGTCTGAAACAGTCAAAAGAAATAGTACTCCCAGAAATAGTACTTTGATTTGCTTGTCCTAAGATGCTTGTTGGTGGGCCCTTCACAGATCTCCAGGAGAGCTTTTCATCTTCAAAAATACTTAAAAACTTGTGCATGCACTTTCCGTACTTTGATGCTTCATCTCCAGATCTTTGGACCACTGCTGATACCGGACAGAGGCGGGAGCGACTGCAGACAGCATGGTACAAATAACAAGGGTGGTTCAATCTGGAGACGCGTATGGTTTGCTAGGAGCAGGACAGGGCCAGGTAAATCACGAGTCACGTGACTGTGGTGCCGCTGGCGTGTTCTTACGTGGGCACCGAGAGAGAACAAGATGAGAGTGGCTGGCTGTCCCCTCAGCTTCAAGATGCACCACGTAAGCCATTTGAGTGCAACTAGGGTTGAACAACTCAGCTGTGAAAGACATTTTGGAGACAGTCCAAGAACACAAAGCAGACATGGTAAAAGGTCTGTTGCTGTCGTTAGGTGCCCTCGGAGTCAGTTCCGACTCACAGCGACCCTGTGGGCAACAGAGCGAGACGAAGCCGGGTCCCGCACCATCCTCACACGCGATGCTGTGCTCAAGCCCACTGTTGGAGCCACTGTGCAAAGTCATCTCATTGAGGAAACTCCTCTTTTTCCACGAACCTCTACTTTTCCATCACCACTCGTTCCACCAGTCTGTCTTACTGTGGCGGCTGGCCTCTTGTTGTGATGCCGGAAGCTATGCCACCAGTATTTCAAATACCATGGTGGACTGGTTTCAGCGGAGCTTCCAGACCAAGACAGAGGAGGAAGAAGGACGTGTCGATCTACTGCTGAAAAATTTGGCCGCTCAAAACCTTATGAACAGCAGTAGAACGCTGATGTATTGCCGGAAGATGAGCCCTTCGGGTTGGAAGGCATTCCAACACCACTGGGGAAGAGCTGCCTCATCTGGGTAAGAGTGGACCTTAATGGCGTGGGTGTAAAGCAATACAGCTCTTTTGGGACCTTCATTTGCTGAGGTGGCATGACTCAAAATGAAAACAAGCAGCTGTAAACATCCATTACTAACAGGAACATGGAATGTAAAAAGTATGAACCTAGAAAAACTTTTTTCAACAATGTGAACTGCGACTATACACTTGGACCTCTGGCCAGATGGAATACACAGGGATCAAATCAACCACATCTGTGGAAAGAGGCGTTGGAGAAGTGCAATATCATCAGTCAGAACAAGGCCAGGGGCGGACTGTGGAACAGACTACCAATTGCACATCTGCAAGTGCAAGTTGAAGCTGAACAAAATTAAAACAAGTCCACCAGAGCCAAAATACGACCCTGGTTACATCCACCAGACTTTAGAGACTATCTCAAGAACAGATTTGATCCACGGAACACTAATGATCGAAGATCAGACAAGGTGTGGGATGACATCGAGGACATCATACATACCAAACTCTACTTGACTCTGAAGCCAATAGTTAATTTTTTTTATGAGACTTCTATCTAGCTATCAGATACACATGCTTTAAACCACTTCATACCTAAATTAGTTTTCTAGGGGTACCATAATAAATTACCACCAACTGGGTAGCTTGAAACAATATAACTTTACTCTCTCACAGTTAGGAAGTTAGAAGTTTTAGAATCATAGTGTTAGTAGGGTTGCACATACCCCAGGTTGTTGGGGAGATTTATGTTTTGCCTCTCTTAATTTCCAGTGACTTCTGGCATTGTTTGGTTTTTGACACTGATATTCCAATCTGTGTCTCTGTGTCTTCTAGTTTTTTTGTCCCTTTTGAATACACTCATTATCGGATTTAGGGCCCACTCTAATCTAGATTGATCTCACTTCAAGATCCTTATTTTAATTATATCTTTAAATACATTTATTCCAAACAAGGCCACATTCTGAAGTTCCTGGTGGATGGATCTCATTTGCAGAGCTACTGTTCAACTCACTATAATATTATTCCATGGGTCACTGAGCCTTTGCCGATTTTTTTTTTCATTCCATACTTGTTTGGATTATTTCTATTCTTTTTCAAGTCTGTGTTATAGTTTAAAATTTTCATTAAGTTCATAATCTCCCAGTACTTGTTGAAGTTCTCCATTTGTACATTCAATGTGTCCATCTTTTCCCTTACATTCTTACACACATTTTTAATAGCTATTTTTAAATTTTGTTCCCTAATCCTAACATCTGTGTCAGCTAAATGTCTACTTCTTTTGACTTTTTTTGCAAGTTATGCTCACATTTCTTCTTCATATATAAAATTTAATTGTATACTTTACTTTATGGATATAAAAGTCTCGATTCTGCCCTCATAATTAAATTAGTATTGAATTGTATTCTTTCAAACAATTAACTTATTAACTACTTAGCTTGAGCCTATCAAGACTTGCTTCTTTGTTTGTTTGTTTGTTTTTGTTAAGTCATGTCTAGGGTTACCATTACTCTAGGTTTAGGGTAGCTCTGTTCTTAAGACTTACCCTGTCATGCATCTCAGTTGAATACCATATATATTCATTAAATTCCCTTCATTTTGGTAGATCAAAACTCCAGTGTCTCTCTGCACTGTGCAACCTCCAGAATCTCCATTAAGTTCACAATTCCCAGTGCTTGTTGCCTACCAGGCATTGTTGAGTCTTGCCCAGCACAGGCAAAGTTTAAGTGTCATCTAAAAGCTCAAATGGACCCCTATATATATTTCTGGGCACCTTTGCTACATGCAACTC